AAACCTATTACTTGTAACTCTGTCCTTTGGCATCTCTTTGTACAGCTTCAGGAGATCCACCATGCTTTATATGACGGTTTACCATATCAAATCTGCCCAGTAATTTTGCTGCATTTACCATGTTGTTCCACTTTTTATACTCTCTATTTACTCTTCCTTGGCATGGGTTGATAAATTGGATCATGCGCTACTTCTCCTCTCTATACTTTACGAATACGTGACTGTTCTTTACTGCCTTTTATTACTTTTAGCATGATATAAGTGATATAAGGACTCTGTACTTAAGAGCATGGTGTGACTCTTATTACAGGCTGAGTATTTTAAACCATATATTTCTGAAAACTACACTGCAGGTGTTACTGTCTGTGAATTACACTAGCCCTATCCAGTATTTGTGATTGCTTTTACATGTATTTCCATTACATTGGAAATTTGGATTGCTCACGTTATTTGTAATGCACTCTTACACATTTTGATTGAATAATTTAATATCTCCTCTTGCTTTATGCAACATTTATGAAAAAACAATAAAACATAACCACTGTTTGGAGTAAAAATGGCAAACAGCTCCACAAGATTACTGGTTCAATAAATCCAAATCACAACAACAGGAAAAATAATAACATTGTTTATCAGAACTCCCCATCAGTGCCGAGAGCTGAGGCCTCATCCTGCTCACTCCGTGCGGGAGTTTCCATGGGAACCAGGCAGCTAGAGCGTCAGCAGCTTGAAGCCCCAGCTTGATCAGATAGCAGAAAAACATAAACACTTAAATTGCCACAGCTTTAAAGAGCCCATGTCTGCTAAATGTTGTTTTGCTAAAAGTGTGTGAATGAAATGTTATGTGAACATGGCTGCGCATGTGCAACAGAAGGAACAGAAAGAATGAGGGCCAGTATCAATACTGTACATGAAAACGGAGTGCTCCTGTGGCTTTTCTTAATTTACAGCTCTGGTCTCTGTCTGTGCTCATAAATACGAGCATTTCAGGTCAAAACCTGCCTTGTTTATGAACTAGTTTTGGCAAAACAAAGCAAAGCCTTTATTTCAAAAGGGTACATATGAATATAATCAATGTCAATGAATAAGATTACTAAGAATGTCCCAAATACAAAACTGGCTGAGGTCACTTGGGTAAAGAGGTCAAAAAGGGTAAAGTTCCACCTGTGGAGGCTAAAATTTCAGCCATTGCCGTGTTTCATCCCTACCACCAGGCATGAGTTGCGTAGATTTTTAGGAATGGCTGGTTACTAACGCAGTTTTTGTAAAAACTTTACTACTGTTGTTCACCCCCTCACTAATTTACTCAGTCCATATAAATCCTTTTTACATGGTCCGATGAATGCTAACATGCCTTTGAGAGCGTGAAAGCTCTTCTTTGTAGTGCTCCTGTTGTTGCTGCGCCAGACTTTACTTAGCCGTTTAAGTTAGAGGTAGATGCGAACGAGCGCTCTGGGAGCTTGTGCAGTGTTACTCCAAGATGATGAAAACAGCATTGACCATCCACTTTGTTATTTTTCCCGTACATTTAATAAACACCAAGTAAATTATTCAACAATCGAAAAGGAAGCTTTGGCCTTATTACTAGCATTGCAATACTTCGACGTTTATGTTGGGTCCAGTTTTGCCAAAGTCACAGTTTGCAAATTGAGCATCAGTTATGCCTTTTCAAGACGCTTAAACTCCGTTTTAAGAAGTGTCATATGTTCCAACCAATCTGATGAATTAACTACAAGATTGTCTAAATATACATTGCAATTGGGTACATCCGACAAAATCAAATTAACAAGCCTTTGAAATGTGGCAGGTGCGTTTCGCAACCCGAAGTCCATAAAAGTATACTGTAGGAAATTATCAGGGGTCACGAATGCAGAAATGTCTGAGGCACGCGGGTTTAGTGGTGCCTGCCAATAGCCCTTCAACAGATCTAACTTGCTAACAAAATGTGCAGAACCTAGATCTATCGTACAGTCTTCCATGCGAGATAATGGAAATTAGTCTGGTACCGTAACTGCATTTACCTTACAGTAATCTGTACAAAACCGAAAGGTTCCATTGGGTTTGGGCACTAGCAGACACAGTGAATTCCATGGACTACAGCTCTGTTTTTTTCATAAGGGATCTTTTGTTGGTATTAACATGGTATGCATGTTGTTTGATAGGAATAGGACCATTAACATCTATGTCATGCTGTAGGACTGTAGTACGGGAAGGAACATCACCAAAAAGAGATGAAAAGTCTTGAATTAGGTTTACAATGTCCTCTCTTTGTTGTGCAGACAAATAAGTAAGATATGATGGCAAATTCTGTAATATTTCAGAATTTGGCAACCTAGTGCACTGCTGAGGAGTGTTGCGCAGCACCAAACCATCCTCATCATCGCCATTAACACCAGCAGAGTCTGTAACCCTACAGGTTCAAACAGCAAAAGAGACAGCAGGCCTAGAAATCTCATCTGTAGAGTTTACCTGTGGGTTGTCTCTGGTATGATAGGATTTCAACATTTTAATGTGGCAGACACGAGACTGGCATTTTCGATCAGGAGTGCGAATTACATAATCAGTTTCACTCAGTTTTTCTACGACAATATATGGACCAGAAAAACATGCAGAGAGGGCAGACCAAGGAATAGGCAATAAAACCAAAACTTTATCGCCAGGATGAATAGAGCAAGAGACAGCTTTCTCGTCATAGTGATGTTTCATGGATTTCTGTGCAATTGACAGTGATTCTTTAGCGAGAGAGCAGGCTAACTAACACATTAGTTTTAAGGTTCGAGTCAATTGCCAGAATTCTCTCCTTCAGGGCTTTTAAAGGTCCCCTAACAGTGTGACTGAAGACAAGTTCAGCAGGGCAGAAACCCAGAGATTCTTGTACAGTTTCATGCACAGCAAATAAAACAAGCAGAACACCTGCAGCCCAATCTCTACCTGTATCTAAGCAGTACTTTCGTAGCATCGATTTCAGTGTTTGGTGAAAGCTTTCAAGTGCGCCGTGATTTTCAGGATGATAAGCACTAGATACCCTGTGCGTTATTGCTAGAGACTTTAACACTTGGGTAACAAGCATTGAAAGAAAATTTGTGCCTTGGTCAATTTGTACTTTATAATAAAACTTTTTTGCAATGCAGCTGAATCTAAATCAACCAAACCAGTCTTAATTTTGCAGGCTGTGATGGTAAATGTTAAATTTAATTGCAGTCTTAATGTGATTTGTTTGCCTCATTTTGTGAAGTAGAGCAGAAATAAAAGATTGAAGAGATATATTAAATGTGAGCTCAAAATGTTGATTCTTTAAAAAAATGTCAGTATCGTAATTTAATAAAGATTGAAAGATTGCTTCACTATGCCAATTCTGATAGAATTCCTATTGTATGCTGTTCAAGGTCTTTCATATTTTTTTAACTTGAAAGCACATTTTTAAAAACAAAAGCAGACTAGACTCTTCAGATTACGTTTGAGAAATTTTTCTTACCACAAGTCTCTTCTCATCTATGATTTTCGATCCATTGGGCACAGTGCCTATTCCATAATTTTCTTGCATTACTTTTTTTAGCTTTTGTACTCTCAATAACTCCTTTGTTATGTCTTCAGAAGTCTGACACCTGCAAAATACTATCAAAGCTCCCAGGTGAAGAGCTCATAAACAGCTTTACTCTGTAGCCGTAGGCAGGACAGTAATAAACAGAAATTCTAAAATTCCCTATTATCCACTCTTTATCCCTAAATTCCCACTCCATATGCCCCAATGTTTATTTCCCCTGGAGTTTCATCAATTATATTGTGGCAGAGTATTTCCTGTTTATTTTTAAATTCAAAAGCATTTAAAATTTTCATACATGTTTTAAAAGGTGTTACGCATATAGATTCAAACCCTGCCACTCACAACTAGCAACCAACTGAAAGCAGGTGTGAGCCTGGTCAGTACCTGGATGGGAGACCTCCTGGGAAAGCTAAGGTTCCTGTTGCAACAAGTATTAGTGAGGCCAGTAGGGGGCGCTCACCTTGCAGTCTGTGTGGGTCGTAATGCCCCAGGATAGTGGAAGTCCTGACTTCCTATGGTGATTAAAAATCCCAGGGTGTTTCTCAAAAAGAGTAAGGGCTTTACCCTGGTGTCCTTGCCAATTTTCCCTCTGGCCTTTGACAATCACGGCCTCCTAATAATCTGCATCTATGAACTGGCTTTCATCACTCTGTTCTCCTCCCCACTGAGAGCTAGTGTGTGGAAAGTGTACTGGAGCACTACGGATACCATTGCTTCCTACAGGTGGCGATACAATTGCCTGTAAAGCTCTTGTCGAGAGCGGATGTCGAGAAAAGTAATAATAATAATAATTGCTTACACTTATATTGCGCTTTTCTGGACACTCCACTCAAAGCGCTTTACAGGTAATAGGGACTCCCCTCCACCACCACCAATGTGCAACATCCACCTAGATGATGCGACGGCAGCCATAGTGCGCCAGAATGCTCACCACACATCAGTTATCAGTGGGGAGGAGAGCAGAGTAATGTAGCCAGTTCATAGAGGGGGATTATTAGGAAGCCATGATTGGTAAAGGCCAATGGGAAATTTGGCCAGGACGCCGGGGTTACACCTCTACTGTTTTCGAGAAACGCCCCGGGATTTTTAATGACCACAGAGAGTCAGGACCTCGGTTTAACGTCTCATCCGAAGGACAGCGCCTTTTTTATGGTATAGTGTTCCCGTCACTATACTGGGGCATTAGGACTCACATGGACCGCAGGGTGAGCACCCCCTGCTGGCCCCACTAACACCTCTTCCAGCAGCAACCTTAGTTTTTCCCAGGAGGTCTCCCATCCAGGTACCGACCAGGCTCACAACTGCTTAGCTTCAGTGGGTTGCCAGTTGTGGTATATAAGTCTATGGAATTTATTATTATTATTGTTGACTTTAAAAGGGTTAACACAGCATCTCCCTGAAACATTCTTCAGCAGCAGTCATGTCAGTAGCTCATTGTTGCTCCTTGTCCAAACAGGGGATGTCCAGTACTTGAAGAAGGACCAGGTGTTCGAAGGCAGCAAGACCGGAGTGGACAACATTGTCTTGGCCCTGTACAGTGGGCTCTTTGCATTTGGAGGCTGGTAAGCTACTTGATTTAAACATGAAGTGAGGTGACTCAGCCTCATCACCTTCATTGTAAAATATGGTATGAGTATTCAGGTTATTTAAATTATTCTGGTAAATTACCATTACCATTGCTTTTGGGTTCTTTAGGGAATATAAGAGAAAAAAATGAAAGCTGGGAAGCAGGAAAACTTTCTCCATGTTTTTCCATTTCATTTTGGGATTTTTTTGTCTTGTGCTGTATTAAGAGTCAGCAAAAAATGAAAAATCTGTAACATGGTTTTCTCCTCAGCTTCTATGAATTAGTTACACGGTTCAATATGAACCTGCACGTGACTCCGACTCCATCTTTGAGGATTTTGATGATTTACTTCATTAAACTAAGCACTGGTAACACAATTGTAAAACAATTCTCATTTACCAGAAGCAAAATTAACTATATTCAGTCAAAAAAATATTTTTTATAGAAGTTATTACATTTTTCATTATACTGTATTGTACCTACACAAAGTTAATTCATGCTTTATATCTTTCTCACTTGCTTTTAGGAATTATTTAAATTATGTAACCGAGGAAATGGTCAACCCCGAAAGGTAAAAGAATTTCATTGTGTTTGAAGACACCATACATTCAGCAAAGAATGTTTTTGTATTTAGTCTGTACTTTTCCCTTTCCAAGTTATCTTTCTGAAAAAAATGACAGTGCTTTATATCATATTGAGCTTTTAAAACAAAGTCATGCCACTTGTAAATTCACTTTATATTTCAAAAAGATGTACAGTTCACTTTATTATGTATATAATATAGCAATGCCTTGTTGCTTTCACTGTGGAATTGAGTTTTCTTGAAGAGTTGGAGACATTCTTGCAATTTTAACCTTTTAATCTTTGTGCATAGAGGTAGATGCATAAACACGGAGGGAAATATATTTACATATTTTAAGAGACTGAGATGAGATTCCACTTGCAATCTGCAAGTGTTTTATGGTCTCAACAAAGAGTTGCTGGATCTGAAAACCACATATACAATTTAAATATATATCCCTTTGGGATAGTAGTTTTGCATTACATTTGAGTTCCTAAATCAAAATAATTTACACATTGTAAGTTGGTAGAGCTCCTTTCTGCATTCAGAAACTGGTGGTGCATCCCATTACCTTAGTCTGAGGTGACTCAGTAATTTGGAGAGGCACACATTGATATACAGTTAATACTTGCAGTACTGTACAAGGCATACTGGACAAAAGTAATTGTATTATCTAGCAGAGCTCCCAAAGGCTTGTTCTCCAGACCCGTTTTGGCAGTATGTCAGATCTTGATGGAATCATAGGATCTACAGTATAGATGCTGTTCAGAAACCAGTGAGAAGAAGGATGCAGTGCCAATAATTAATCAGACTGACTGCACCATAGGGAGTTTTTTTAATAATGGGAAACAAATAGGTTTTTGCAAAAGAACTACATACATATAGATCAAAGGGTTTCTCTCTGAGCTATAAATAGCAGCCATAAATAGCAGCTCAGACCCACAGATTTTTACAGCTATTCCTACAATGCATACTATCATCTATACCCTGACCTAAAAAAACAGTTTTTTCTTCCATAATATATTACACAGTATATTCATGTATTCTAATATATACAGTACTTCATGTGCAAAAACGTTTAGAAGGTTTACCTAAAAAATATTTAGCTGAAGGTGTAAGAAGGAGCACAGATTTTTTTCTCCTTTTGTTCATTTACACTTTTTGCTTGATATTTGCATGTAAAAATGTTAAGAAAGGCATATAGTTATTCCTCTGTTACCCTTTTAATACTGTAAAACTGACAATTAGAAAGATCTGATTAAATTAATACCAGTAATCAATGTGTTTTGAAGGAAATTCTGCAATAATTAAAAAAATAGTTGCATTAATCTTTACATCTGCCTTCTAGGAATCTGCCGCTGGCCATTATAATATCAATGCCAATTGTGACTATTGTGTATGTCCTGACCAACTTGGCATATTTCACCACCATATCCCCCTATGAGATGGTAGAGACTGAGGCAGTGGCTGTGGTAAGGCTTTTTACATACAGCAATATTCTAAAGGTAATTGATTTTGACTGGGTACAGGGAGCAAATCATGGATGATTCAGGAAAAAGAATAAAATGAAATCTTCACACTTTAAGAGGCAAAGGAGTGTGGGGTGCTTGTGTGGTGAATCGACCTATTCTGTACAGTATGTATTCTGATACTGTTCTGAGTATTTTGAGAACTGTGCACTATGGAGCAATGACATGTGGTATATTGAAACACATATTCCTGTGGACAACAACTGTGTACTTCAGAAGGCTAACAGACAACCACTCCAGAGGATGAATGTAAACTATCGAGGGCAACTAACTGATATTCATGCTGAGCTAATGCATATCTGTCATTGTCCAAGGAAACATGATCCTATTTGTATGCATACCCAGTTCAAAACGTTGTTCCAAGGTACACAGTTTGTGCAATTCAGTTGTTTAAATAGGCCATTTAACACTTAAAGTTCCCTCTGCTGAGTGGCTTTGTCTGGCAGGTATCACCTTTTTTTTTCCAAAATGGAATTGGTGGAAATGTTCCAGCTTTGGACAGTTCCATCAAAAATGATTCTAAATGTGCAAAAAAATGGGTTAAACAAGGACCTTAACCTGTTGATTTTAGGAATTATGTGTTGTCAGAAAAACTGATTTAACGGTAAATAACAAACAACATCAAAGAAAACCTTGACTTAAAAAAATTACTAGACTTTTGTTTGTCCATGTTTCTCAGTTTCTCTGTCAATGTATATAGCTGATGTTTCTTTTGCAGATTTTTGGTGAATATCATTTGGGGGTGGTGTCTTGGCTCATTCCAGTCTTTGTGGGCTTGTCGTGTTTTGGGGCGGTCAATGGCAGCCTCTTTACCTCGGCCAGGTGAGAATTTCCAGCAGCCTCACACTACAAACACTTTCACATTAATGGACCTGGTTTCAGTATATATTGTTAAAATATGGCCAGACTTTCAGCTGGAAATTTTAGCTGCTCAAGAACAATCAGCAGATATTAACTAATGAAACCTGTTGGATAATAAATGATTCACTTGAAAAGTGTTCTCTGTTTTATCATGATATTTCTGCCCTATAAAAACCTAAAATATCGAAACACTTTGTTCTCTGTTGACCTCTACACCACTACATTCTGTTGAACACAAAATTCAGCAGCCATATAACCCTGCAAATCACAAGTGGCAACCCACTGAACCTAAGTACACACTAGGGCTACACACTGGTGGTGGTGGAGGAAACTCTCCATTATCGTAAAGCGCTTTGAGTGGAATGTCCAGAAAAGTATTATGTAAGTGTAAGAAATTATTATTATTATTTGTATTATTAAAAATATGGCAATTTATCTTTGGCATTCCCAAACCCAGTATCTGAAATAGTTTATTAATTTGGGCATGGCATAGTACTGCAGCTTTAGAAAACAGATCTTGTGCGAGTGATTCTGGCTTGTTGTGTTTTCTGTAGGGACTTTTTGTAGGGTTTTCTCCAGGTTGTCTGGTTTCCTCCCACCCCCTGAGGTTAATTGTATCTCTAGATTGTCCTGCATGTCCCATGTTCTGCAATAGATTGGTGTCCCATTCAGAGAGTAGTTCTGCCTAATGCTCCGAGTAGCCAGGACCCTTCCTAAACAGAATTCTGATAATGAATGGACAGTTACTAGTTTGATTCGATTTTACTAATTACTACTCTTTTGATAGTCATTCAGTGCAGTGTGGTGTAAAGTGAATTCCTGCACACATTATGATGTGTCTTTGTGTTTGTTGTAGGCTGTTCTATGCAGGTGCTCGAGAAGGCCACCTTCCTGCCGCCCTCGGGCTGGTTCACACAGATCTCTTTACACCTGTTCCTTCTCTCATCGTAACTGTGAGTCACACTGTTACTCAATCATTTTTGTTACAATCCAATATTTTCCACAATGATCATAAAAATAATAAATGATAGAGTTAAAACATATAAAATACAGTATACACACACAAGAAAAAGAAAAATCCCCTTTCACACCCTCCAAAACAAGAAGGGTTTACAAATATATTGGCCAGCAGCCATATCACCCTGTAACTCACAGATGGCAACCCATTGAAGTTCACCAAGTGTGAGCCTGGTCAGTGCCTGGATGGGAGACCTCAAAGCTAAGGTTGCTGCTGGGAGAGGTGTTAATGGGGCCAGCAGGTGGGGCTCACCCTGCAGTCTGTGTGGGTCCTAATACCCCACTATAGTGACAGGGACACTTTACTGTTAAAAAGGTGCCGTCCTTCGGATAAAAAATAAAACCAAGGTCCTGACTTTCTATGGTGATCCCAGGGAGTAGGGTGTTACCCTGGTGTTGTCACAAAGCATCTTTCAAGACCCTATATAGATGGCAGAATCTGGAGGGGAGTGAGACAAACACAGGGAAAAAAGACTAGGATCGGGGCTTGAAGAAGAACAGGGGGGCGTGTCGACGGTGTGCTGGTGCTCGGGGGGGCATGGTAAGGCAAACAAGTCCAAAATAAGTCCGTAGGAAAATCAAGAGAATGCAAAAGTCCAGAACCGGGTAATCCAAACCAAGACAGACATTACAGAAGTTAAAAACTGGAGCGGGATCCAGCGAAGGGTCGGGGGATTAAAAATGGGTAACAGGGCCAGGTGCTCCAAGCTCTGGACCCAGATGGTCAGGACGCCATTGCGAAGCCTATGCCATCAAAGCTTTCCTGGACTCGCCCGTAGGCAGGTTATTGGGCGTCCATCCTCCAAAGCTGAGCCCAGATTGGTAGGTCCGTCTAGCTTGTATTAGAAAGGGGCTGGAACCAGAGGCAGGTGCAAAAAATCAAAGACAAACAAAGAAGAGCCAGAGCGTCCTTAAGAGGAAGGGCTTACGATCGTGACAGGTGTCCTGGCCACATTTCCCATTGGCCCTTACCAATCATGGCCTCCTAATAATCCCCATCTGTGAACTGGCTTCATCACTTTGTTCTCCTTCCCACTGAGAGCTGGCGTGTGGTGAGTGTTCTGGCGCACTTTGGCTCATGTCGCATCATCCAGGTGGGGCTGCACATTGGTGGTGGAGGGGAATACAAATTACATGTAAAAGTGTTGAGTGGAGTGTCCAGAAAACGCTATATATATACTATGTATAAGTATAAGGAATTATTAATTATAATAATGCATAATCAATACATCTGAAAAAGTATATATATATATTAATATATTTATTTATATATTATTTCTTAGAGTGACATTTATATTTATAGAAATATTTTAAATCTAAAACTTAATTTACACTCATAAAGTAGTAATTCAGTTGAACAATTATTACCTTTATCTTTAATTATTTATAAAATACCACTTCAGAATATATTAAGCCTTCACATTTTCTCCTATCTATCTTCAAAAACTTTATTCTGATCCCTTATTCTATGTGTTATCCATTCAATTTGATAAACTTCTGTAATTGTCCTTTACTGATTTGAGGTGCTTGTGGTTTGTTATTTGTCATTGTTATTTGTTTTAAAGGGGTTATTCTTACTATTTTAAAGAAGTTATTTATCTATTTCAGAAGGCAGCACCCATGGAGTAAAACATGACTGTGATGACTTTAGTCTCCCCATTATTTCACCAACAAGCAGTTGTGTTTGTTCTATTTAGGGTGTTTAAAAAATCTCATCTGTATTTTCCATGCATATTTCTTCCAAGACCAATAATTAGTTGTCTTAAAATTATTCTGAAAAGTATCATTCCAAGCATTAGAAATAAATTCTGCTTGTAGCTCATTTTTAGCTCATTTTGCTATTGAATATAACTTTAAATTAACCAATAACCAATAAATTACCAAGCACATTCTTAACATTAGATTCATCATACATTTTGCTAGAAAATAAGGATGTATTTAATCAAATGTTTTATTGATTCCCCAAATATTTGTAATATAACTAATAATTTGCAAATAGTTAAAATAACTGAGAACTAGGGAATTAAACATTTTAGATAAATTCTCAAATGAGTCTACTACTTTATCTGGGATTATTTGATGATACCTAATCAGTCCTCTATGTGCTCATAACATAAAAGTGTCAATTAATGTATTTGGTTTAAGATTTGGATCACTTTTAATTTCCCTTAAGTATATTAAGTATGTGTATATTTTTACAAACAGAAATCCATGCTTATATAGTACTGTATTTTGAATACATATATTTTCCAAACGTTTTGAATAATTATCTAATTTTGACAGAAACAGGACTGCAGTAATTGATCGTTCTATCTACTGAATTTCTGTCTCTCTCTTTATTCATTCATCTCTCTCCAGTCCTTATCCATCCATGTCAAATTGGGTTTTATTTTTGCTTTTGATAATGCCAATCCACCCATTTCTTTAGATTGCTTAATTATCTTAAGCCTAACCCTTGGTTTCCTCCGATTCCATATAAAATAAATCTACTCATAAATGTATCCCATTGTTTAAAAACATTTGGAGGTATAATCATTGGTAATGTTTGAAAAAGGAACACAGATCTTGAAAGAACATTCATTTTTATGGCTTCAGCTCTTCCCATGATTGTTATGGGTAACAAATTCCATCTATATAAATTCTCTTTCTATATAAGTTTATTTTCCAGTACCTTAAAATTATATTTATTGAACTATTGAAGTCTGATAATTTTTTGGGAATTATAACACTAAAACCTTAATACTTAGGAAAAAGGTATTAAGGTTTGTGGTCCCATCTAAACCTAAATTTGGATTTAATATCTTGAGGTACGATTTGACCCACTGTTTTCCTATATATTATATCCAGATATTTTTCCATATTCTATCTTCCATTACTACTGGAACTGACGGATTTTCTGTCAGATACAGAATGATATCATCTATGTACATATGTTCTTCTTCTCCTACCACAACACCTTTTATTTACAAAGATAAAAAACACCATTATTATTAATTTAGATGGCTAATACAGTTAACCAAATCAACATTTACCCATTTAAACACTTGGACATTTTACTGGAACAATAGGAGGACTGTACTTGGCTCACAGGTAGAACAACAGAGCCTCACCTGGGACCTGAACACAACCGTCCAGAGCCCTGATGACAATGCCATATGACACTTACAGTAACGATGTCTTGAGTATTGCAAACAGCAAAGTAATTGTATATGGCAGAAGTGTGAAACTCTGTGATACTAGACACAGGAATATCACAAATGACCACCTCCATTTTCAATACACAAGCATGAACAGAGAAGTCTATTGATGAACACAGGTTCTTATACACAGCTCCTTTAGTTCAAGTGTAAAATGACAGCCCTGTTTTCTTGTATTCATTTCTTGTTTCAGAAGTTCGTTTAGATCCCAATGGATGTGATAGATAAAATATGTATAAAGTATTTGGTGTGGCTTGCCCACCTAAAGGAATGGCAGCCTGTATAAAATAATAAGATGCCCAAACCCCCTTACTATTGTGAGGATTGAATGAGTTAGTTTGCTGCAAGGGTGTACTGTATATGGGAGGATGCAAGAGAGATAAGCGAAGCAAAACAGCTCCTTTACATATCTTTCATTGAAGACAGGGGTTCTATAGCCTTGTCTTTTTCCTGGGTGCAAGATTTACATATGAAAGCGAGCAGAAGTGTTAGGATTAGGACACTCTGAGATTAGTGCAAGATTAGGATCTAACCTCCCACCTATACTACTGTTATAAACTCCATTAAGTAGTTTGGAAAAAAACTTCATTTTCTGTAGTTTGATCATATTCTAATAATAATGAATCAGGCCAACGAACAGAAACAGTGTACTTAATACTTAAGTAATTAATTTAGTAAAAGATTATCTCGGTTAAAGGTTGGAGTTGTCACAATCCCCCTTATTTAAGAGGAATGAACCAGGGAGTTTTTTAAATGGTGAAGCTGGGGTAGAGGGATGGGTCCTAGAAAAAAGTTGTGGGCAGCCAACAAGTATTTTTAAGTCCTCTCTACATACAGTATGGTGTTAAATAACACCATAAAACAAAAAAGATGCATGATTTGAATTAGTGAATTTTACTGGCATAAATTGCCTAACTGAGGAGAATGCCTATTTGTGCATAAAACAAGGTTATTGAAGCCCTCCCTTTAATGAAGGATCTTCTGTAAGGGTGAAGATGGAGTGGAGGGAGGGTTATGAAACATGCAAATAAGTAAATTTAAAACAGCATGTTTATATGCAGGAAGGCAGAAGTGGGTGATAATAAAGTTTGACTTCATACAGGACATTTATTTCAAACTCTATTTTAATAATTCAGACATAGTTAAAAAAGGGAAGAAGGGAGGTTCAGATTAGTAATCATTTTTGGTAATACTCACCTGGTTGAGGAGAACAACAATATTCATTATAGACATCATCACCTACCCATAATGAGGAGGCTTTCAGAACCCCAAAAAGAGGCAAAACAGATCCCATAATGTTGAAGCAGAACTCTTAGGTTAAGGAATCTAAGACTATGAATGAGGATATGGTTAGCAGATTGAATGTACAAGGGGTATAGAAGGTAGTAAGAATACTTAGTAACATTTCAAAGAGGTTGTAAACCGTTGTTAACATTTTGCTCTTAGGAAGGTTTTGAGAAAGAGGAAGGAATGAGGACCACTTAATACTGAGACAAAATTATTAATTGAAATGGTAAACATGCTTATAGTGAATTTGTGAATTTGTAAAGTTCAAAATAACAAGGAAATGAAAAGCTACAATTGTGATGCCTTGATGAGCAGTGAAGCTGCACCAGGAAATATCCAGCAACAGCTGGTGCTGAAGTCTGCTTTGTCAGTGTTTTTTCAAGGTGGTGTAAGACACAGCAGCAAGTCACTAACTGATGGATTGTTTTATAATTAGTGGTTCACATGTGATGGCTGTCTGTCTGAGATTAATGCAATCAGTAGCAAGAAGAGGGAGTTTTTGAAAAGATTGCAGATACTCACTGAATGAATGAAAGGGGAGGCTGCAATGCTCTGGAGAATAATGATTTGAAAAAGTGTTTCAGTATGCAGAGGAAGCAATACTGTCATTTCTGAAAAATGGAAAAACCAGCGTTAGAAATTGTAGATCAGATGGTTTAGGAGGGTTGCCTGAAACTATATTATGTATGTATATGGGGGAATAGCAGATGTGACTAAACTTTAGACCCTGTTATAAGCACTTTCGAAGTCAAGACCCATACCATGTGTCTTAGAAGTTACTGAAACAACAAGAGAACATGACCATGTTCGATGAAATACAGTAGAGCAAATGTGATAATTAACACAATTCTTAACAACCTGAATTCAAGATAGAAGTGAGGTTGATTTGCATGAATTAAAAACAGACTGATTTGTTTTATTAAAATAGACAAGTTTATTAGGATGAAATAGTACAAATAAAAGGCTTATGGAAAGAGATAAAGAAATGGTCGGAAATATTAGAAATATTAGAAAAAGTGCAAGTTGCAAAGGCATAGAACAGTGCTAATAAACTTGAATTCTAATTCGAGGCAAAAGTCATCATGTTAAATTAAATTATTTTAAGATAAACATTTTATTTCACTCTATCATTAGCAAAGATTGAACCCAAGTACTGTACATAAATGCAAACTATTTCTTTAGGAAGTATGCAGTCTAGAAAGCTTGGTGTGTCTCTATTGTTCATGTCATGGGTAGCGGGGAAGCAGGCATCACCTGATCCGCGGGGATTTGTTGGCCAAGGAGTGCTGTGACTCTGCTCAGGAGCAGTGGACTGCAAGTAGATGGGCTGCTGGCTAGAGAGGTTGGAGTATCGGTATCGGTGTATCGGACTTTGCTTCCCATGTCCAGTTGAGCTCTTTGCTACTTCTTCTCCTTTGTCTGTATTTCTTGGGTTTTGACGTCCAGTCCTCTTAGGCTTAACTTGATGTAATCTTTCAAACTTACAATCCTCTTGTCCTCCCAGGTGTAACTTCCCTGACCTAACTTCCAAATTGTGGTTTTTGGCTTTCCCTATTTATTAGCCTTGAATTAGCCTCAAACAAACCCTCTGCCAGGGTTCTGGTTGGCCAATTCAAATCTGTGATTTCTATATTTCTCCTGCAGGAGTATTGCCTCTATCTAGAGAGACAGGATAAAATGTTCAGAATTTGGAAAAACTCATAACTTCTTTCTAAGTAATACACACAGGTTTAATATTCTTCTCATATATGAGAACTTGCCATGTTGGGCCTATTTACCTGAGATCCAAAAAGCACAGCTCACTAATTTGTGAAGTGATGCCTTAAAATTGTATTTTAGATGGATTCAATTTTAAATAAATTTGAGTTTACCCTTTGGTAAAAGAAATGTAGTATGAGATGTGGCATCAAATCCAGTTTTTCAGTACTGTAGTCTTTTACCAATAAGGAATGAAGGATGAAGGATTTATTGAGTCAAAATTCAGAATTAAAATTTGGATTTTCTATGCAAGCAATGAGAGGACGTTGTACCACATTTCCCCACTAGAGGGGTGACTCAGTTTTCCAAGTTTCCACCTGGACTCTCAATCGATGTGAATGGATCAGAATAACCTGTTTTATTATCAACATTTTCAATAATGCTTGTTGCAGTCATAATTCTGGCCATTTCATGTGTTTTGTTATAACTTGCAATTAAGACCAAAAAGTGATATATGTGGGCTTTTGACCATCTTGAGGTTTAATGCAGTTTGTTATGTTTATTTTGGGTATAACCATAGGACATGTTCATTTAAGATCTGCATAACCTGCGTAATCTGTGTAACCTCCTTGTTCACAGCTCCCTTGACCGCCCTCAACAACCATCCGCACAAGGCACTTTCCCTTGCAACAGAGCTCGCTGTATCACCTGCAAGTACACATCCACCACCACACTCATTCAAGGCACCTCAGGACAATTCTGGATCACCCAGACAGCATCTTGTACCTCCAGAAACCTTATTTACTGTATCTCTTGCAGTAAATGCCCAGCCATCTACATTAGAGAAACAGGAAGGAGACTCGTAGACCACTTCAGAGAACACATCAGGGCTGTGAAGATTAAAGATCTCCAAGCCCATTGTTTCTCATTTCACCTCTGACTGCCACGACCACTCTAATCTCTCCATCTGTGTTCTCAAAGATGGTTTTCTGAACTCATACATCAGAAAGACCACCAAAACCAAAATTATTCTGCAGCTAGGATCACACATTCTTCCTTCTCTTAACGACAGACTACTGTTCTTTTAAATTTTCTCCATTCATTGGAAGTTTCATTTCACACCTCTCTGCACCCATTCTGACTTCACACCTCTTGATTGGCCTCTCTTTCTGTCCCCTGCTCCCACCTCTCACTCCTACTCCCTCCCAACCTTTGTTCTCCCGCTACTTTACCTTTGCCTACTGCCCTGTCTCTCTCACACCTGAAGAAGGCCCCACGGCCAAAACGTTGTGTTCTCTTTCTTCTTTTTTTCAGCATGGAATAAACTTATTACTTGTTCATTTGCAGCCTACGCATGCTGACGCAGCTACCCACCTGAACTACTATCTTCATTTAATATCAACAGGGTGGTCAAATATGGTGTTCGTGGTATATAGGATACTGTATATATTTGGATGATTTTAAGATATGGTTGCACAGTTTCTTGAAACTGAAGCTTTACAAAAGTTCATCCTTGCATTCCATGCTAAGTAGTGACTCCAGAATATGACCTTTTCTCTGGTGCTGGGGAATCTCTTCTCTTGACTTGAGAATCACCAGGTCTGCTTTGTTCATCGCCTAATGGTTTTATTGCCATGTCTGTGCAACTCTTAGCAATTGTGGTGACACAAGGAATGCAGATGCCCCATTATTCAGGCATGTTACAAGTGGGAAATGCATGCATCTTACTTATTAGTAAGAAATTAGTACAAAAACACCCTAATATCAATAAGTATGGCTAACAAAATACATGTATTCTAAGGCCCTGAAGTTTTGAAATGATTGATTACAAATGGAAACCCAGGTGGGAAGTCTAAGAAGGTTCATAATCTGCAGAGATTAAAGCACTCATATGAAAGTGTGAGTGTGAGCTATGGATATAGGACTGAGTGAAAGAGGACAGAGTAGTGAGAGTAATGATGATGACAGGGCATGATTTGCAGAGCCATGCTGAATCCAATACGATTCATGAGCCTATAGACAATACGGTGCTGGTGACACATTGGAGGTCTATTTGATAACAGGAAGTCATTATAAAAAGACATTCTATTACTCCAGGCACAGGTGCAACATTTTTAGTTCCACCGTGCTGTTGGTGTCCAGTTTAACACAGTACAGGTGCTATAGAAGAAGTACGGTTGGAAAGACGAACAGCAGTGCGCCTTAAGAGATGATACACATAGGCTAGTTTAAGTGAATGATAATGATAAGAGCAAGAGGGAAGGGAAGTGGTAAGAATTGTTTTAGTATTCTAAGAATACCACTTGTCTTTATACAGCAGTATTCTTAGTGTCTCTATAACTTAATGTATTTTAATGTATTACTTATTTTAGAAAAATAAAAACTGTTCTGAGAATTGTCATTGTCATCTTCCTTTTTTCCATATTTCTCTACACAGTGTTTCTTGTCCATGTTGTATGCCTGCTCAAATGACATCTTCTCAGTTATCAACCTCTTCAGCTTCTTCACCTGGTTGTGTGTGGGTATGGCCATTGCTGGGATGCTTTGGCTGCGCTGGAAGAAACCTGAACTGAACAGGCCTGTCAAGGTGAGTGTTCTAACTGTTCACTGTGGGCAAACTATGGGAAAAGTTGGCACATGATTTATCTAAGAATAATTAAGCCTTATTTTGCTGTATGTTTCACAGTCAACACTTCAATTCCAAATACAGTTTAATTTTGTCATTGCTAAATGTATTGAATTATGAAAAACTCAGTATTTCACTGTATTTGACATGAATAATGAAAGCATAGTTTTTAAGCTATGCTATGCCCACCTACTGTATATAGTTTGTAATGCAATATTAAAAGATTTTAACGTTTTTTCCATTCAACCCAAGACTTTAAAATATAATCCAAAACTCTTTATTAAAATGAAAGCATACTGGAATGTGAAAGCAATGGTAAAATTAATCAACAGAGCTTTTCTCATCTTATGAAGAAAAACAAAAATGTGTATGGATTTTGCTTCACAGTCTGAGGAACGTGACAGATTTTCTTCTTTTGATTTCATCTGTTTTCAGATCATCATAGTGGTGCCATTGGTGTTTGTCCTGGGCTGTGTCTTCATGATTGCTGTGTCATTCTGGGCAGCTCCTTTCGAGTGCCTGATTGGAATGGGCATCATTCTGACTGGTGTTCCCTTTTATTTTCTGGGATACAAGTGGAAGAAGCCTCACGTCATAGAAAAGGTCATAGGTGAGTCCTAGATACCTTCACATATCGTGTGGACAGGAAATACAGCTGCACTGTTCTCTTCCCTTGGTTTGTTTCTTTGAAAGACCAAATGTGTTGTTCATGTAGCTGCACCTTAAATTTAATCTGCCATTTCTTAAACAATCTCCAAGCACTTCTCAAATCCACCTCCTTTTCACAGGAGGTCTGGACACTATTTAGGAGTTCCATGGAGTGACTCATCTGCTGTCCTGTTTCACTTCCAGTAGCATAGCTTCTGTAGCTAAGGGATTTAGGCACCTCATTGTGCAAATTGAATAATTGTCCAATAAATATAGAACATGTTTCCCCAATTATGGTGTATTGGTTAGGGGCATAAGTGTGCATTTCATGACTCTCATAGTTGTTGTCTTTTAGATCTGATAAACAGTATATTAGAATAAATGAATGGATTTAAACCATTGCAAATTAACAAAGATAAAAATGACAAAATCCCTTCAGATGACAGAATTTTGTGAAGGGTCTGCTATGCTACATGAAAAGGTAATTGGATATGTGCATTCAGGATTCAGTGATCATCTTGCAGATAGAAGAAACTGACTGACATTTCAGTAGAAGTGCTGAGAATGGGTTACTATAGAGGTGTCATTTTCCCTCTCTTTTCTCACAGAAATTTTCACCTTATTCTGCCAGAAGATTTTAATGTCTGTCCCTGAGGAGAAAAGAGAAGCTGACTGAGAATTCTAAAGCGAGAGAGAGTCGGTGCTGGAGTCTGGAGTTCTGTATGTTCCCATTCATGTTTAAAGTGTTTTTTAAGCCTGTAGACCTCGAGTGTAAAGATCTCAGCATTGTTGACTGCAGAGGCACCTTTCAGTGTCTTAACCGGTATCTTGTTAATTAACATACTTCATTAGAGCTGGGTCCAGTTCATAAACATTTTATTTGAGCATCAGGCTGTGCCATGTCTATCAAGGATGATAGCTGAACACTGCTGCTGTACAAAATGTAACGAGTGAACTGCAAATACATTCCCCCAGTTTCTATTCTGTAACTGCAACAATAGTGCATAGTGCAAATTGCTATGCACCTTCTTTTAGAGATGTAGCCTTTTCAATATAATGCTGGTAAAAATTCCATTGATTTTTCACAATTTCACTGTGGTTTTACCATAGATTTGCTGTGGTTTCCTTCACTGTGATAAAACCATGGTTAAACTGAAAACACCCAATAGTAAATTTATCATTAAAGTTCCAAAAATGAGGTTGGTGAAACTTTTAGAATCCATCTCAAAACAAAATAAGTAGCTCCCTTCAAAGTGCTTTCTTCAGCTAGCCACACAATCAGAGAAAGTGTTTTTTTCTAACACTTGATTGCAGATCTATTTCTGCAGGAGGAAGCTAAGTATTGACCTTGCAGTGTTGCTAAAAAAAACATATTTAGCCAATTGGTTGTTCACATGCACAGTGCAGTGAGTGTTACATTTTAAAAAGGCTGGATTAAAAAAATCACAAAATCAAAAAATATTGTACAGTATTATATTAGCTATTTGGTGCAAAAGCATGGATACCACTTTACCTTCGAGCCTAAACTTGTCAGATCTTAGAAGCTAAGGAAAGCTGGTCCTTGTCAGTTCAGTTCTCTAAAATCCAGGTTACTGCTGTAAGTGCTGCTGGTTGACCAGGGTGCTCTTCCCGTTGTACCAGCATTTCAGTGGTGGTACAATACAGTGTCCAGGGACATTGTGTTGTAGGGGGGTATGGTGCTTCAGGTGAGATCTGCTGAGGAAGATCAAACTGAAGTCATAACTGCTATTGTAGGTCATTAAAGATCCCATTACAATTTGAAAGAGTAGCATTGTTTTGGCTAAATTCCACTCAGGGGTTGATCTGCTGTGTAATGACGCTGCCCACAATGGTAGTTTCACTTCAATGATAGATGAAGTATTTACAGATATATACAGCAGGTCCACAAATTTCTAACCAAGCTTTGCAACATATAACCTTCATTTGCATTTATATGTTAACAGCAAAAGGAGAGAGGGAAAAGGATAAGGAAGCAGATTTCAGCTGGATTTACAGTGGTATTGCAAACATAGCCAATACAATTTTGATGTGTGGAATCAGAACAAATTTTAAACAACGCTATACAATGATAAAATAAATGAAACATTTCCTTGCACTTTTATCTAAGTGTGATAACCTTACTCTAGTAACACTGTGTATTTTGTGACACAACATCTCCTGTTTAAAATTTCACCACTCAGCTGAAATAGAAAATCTGTCTTTGAATATGGATCCAACCTACCTTGTCCCTACTAAAAAAACAAATCTCAAAAATGTATCTCCCTGCTGTGTCCTGCAGCTGTTAATGAATGTTACTCTTAGAGAGGGAAGCATTTAGCATATGTAAAGTATTACATAAAATTTAGCATTTAGCATTTACCAGCCATCACCCTCTCCTTCAGTAAACTAGACAGTGGATACAATTATTTATATTAGTGCTCTTACAATCCATTTTTTAAACTTTCAAAAGTAAGAGTTTTTTGGTCATTTTTTTACTAAAAGATCGTACATTTTCAACATTTTGTAACTATTCTATGGTTAAGTCCCTAAAATATATCCATGGCAGCATCTCTACAAATTAGCTTTAGAGCAAACTGTTTCTTAAAAGCTGTTAAAAAGAGCAAAGAAGCAATAGAAGCACTGTATATAAATTATTTTAAAAATATATTTTTTGTGAATATGAATCCTGTGGCAACTAGTGTCTGTCATAAAGTTTAACCAGTTATTATATTAATAAGTGTTACAGACGTCCTGACCTTGATTTAAAGCCACTATTACAGAACTATTAAAATAGGAATGTTTCTTTGAGGAGCCTTTACTGATTTCAGATTATGACCAATTTTGTCTATTTGTAAGTGCAAATGTTATTTACTTTTATTTTAGCCAAGGCTTGTGTTGTACATTCTGTAAATCGACTAAAGTACAAAGTTGTGCATTTGTCCACTTGATGTCTGTGGGTGTGACAGGCATTAAAAACTTTCTGGTCTAAAAGTTACTGTCTTGTCTGTCTGTATTATCAGCTTCAAATCTGTGTTTCTTACAAAGCAAGTACAATATCCTGGCTGATTTGTTAGGCATATTTGTGTATGTACCCGAACTCCCCAAAGCATTTAAGACACATTAGAAAGCATTAGGAAAATGCAGTCTGTAGTTTCCTATATTTGTAAAAAGACATATATTCAGACACACATTCAAATTCAGAATAGCCATACATTTTTTGATAGCCATCTAATCACCATCACATATTGCTACATAACTACATATGAATAGGATCTACAGTATACGCACATACAGCACTGCCACACAAATTGTTATGTATGAAAATTACAGTCTGTTGAGGGAATGCAGTCCTCACAAGTGCAGGACACAAGTAAGCAAGTGACTTAACCCTAAGTAGGCTATTGTGCAATAGCTCAAATACAACACAACCCTCCTCCTACCTTCCAAATGTAAACTACTTTGTATGCAACTACTTTTTATATATCAGGATTTGTATATTTATATATTAATATGTTTATTTAATTTTATGTAATACTTTACAGGGGTTTAGCGGCATATTAAATTATCCACCACATTACAAAGCAACTGACTTTGAGTCTCCAGTCCTCCAGTCACAGAACACATCATGTTAATTGGTCGTCATATAGGGAAGGCATGCATGGAATGGAAGTCAATTGATTTATTCTTCTAAGACTTGTCATAACACATGATGATTCATAATAACAAATAATTATGACCTTTTAGTCCTTTGTATTTTAAGGAATATGGACAATTACAGTCTTAAAAAAACACCTCTGTAGATTAAAAGAGCCAAACAATCTGTGCTGAGAATGTAGAATGGCTTTGATTTCCGCCCTGCAGATCTAGGATTAATCAAAGACCCAGTTTTGTCCCTCTTTTATCATTATGCTCACAGAGGCTATTGTTACTTGGCTTTTCTTTGTCTTATCTGTTGTTAAAATATAATAATCAAGATTCCATCTCCCAGTGCTGACACATTTCCTCTGTACTCAATGACAAACTCACCAGCCAGCTTCAGAATAGGAAATTTGGAAATACCTTGGTGTGAGGGTTTAGAGAATATATTAAATACCTCTTTCAAATTTCTCAAATCTCCCTCAATAAGAACACAAATAGTGAGCATCAACCCCTTTGATTCAGTAAACTTGCCTGTCCTAGCCTCTGGTAGCTCTCAACGGTGTGCCAAGACCATCAAGACTCAGAGGATTGTCACACTGTAAGTCAGCCCAACAGATATCACTCAAAGGAGGCAATGCTTGACAATAATAGGTGGTAATTTGCCTCATTGTCACTCTAAGTGTTGCTTCAGTCCTGCTCCAGTGCCTGGTGATTTGTCATATTTTTATTCATTTTGATACTAATTTCTCCTTATGTTGATTGAATTGTATGTGTTAACAGTGTGTGAACAATGTTTTTATATTATAAATATAATGGAGATTAATTTTGTACTGTATAGTGGAGTAGTGAAGAAAACAGATAAACTGAAGTTAATTGTGAACATCATGAAAATAAATCTCTTTATTATAAGTATTTTACTTGTTCCCTATCAACTAACATAAAACGTAGTTTTTATAAGCATTTAGCCAGAGAACAATCTATATTTTGAATTTCAGATATTCAACAATTCCACCATTTCACCAGCATTGAATGATATGAGTGTATCAATATATGCACCAAGATTAAGAGGGCCATAATATGTCTTCTTTTGCAATTAATGTGTTATTCACATTAGTTTTGTGTCACATGTTAAAGGTGTTTAGTTGTGGAAATTACTTGAGTGCATCAGTGGTCACTGAAGTCACTGATAGTTTTCTTTCCAGGATGAAACAATTCTATGAAAGTGAAGAGCTGCAAAAACGAAATAAATTTACAAAAAAATCATATCAACCAGGAGAAGCAACTCTTCCCAGTCAGTGCAGTTTTCCTCTCTGTACCTTAAACTCATTGCAGTACCTTCCATTTTAAATGGAAAAACATCATGGCCTGGACACCTCATCAACAAGCATGATGGCAGAAGAGATTAAAGCTATCTAGTTAGAGAAGTCCTACAGTGAGTAATTAGTCCACCCATATTTCCTTTGTTACGGATCTGTGGGACTCTCCGGAGACATTTATTAAGGGCATGCTTACGTGCTAAACTAAAAACTGCAACTAAGTGAATGATCTGATGCAAATTAAAAAAATATTAATAAATGTTGTGTAGCACTGTTTCTGCAAAAACAAATAGGAAATTCAGTAACTCATTACGACATTTCACGAGGAATGACAGCAATAAATAAAATAAATAATGAAGTTTGTGTGATGGTAGAATCGTTTATTGAATTTAGCAAAAACTTGGCTTGAAAGCTGGTGAAAGTTGCACCAGGTGCGCCTTATTAGTTTGGCTGCCTTCATTTCTTCAGAACTTTAGTTAGGACTCCATCAATGGATTTATATCACCTCATGGCATTCTCTTATGATCTGATGAACTGCCAAGAAACCCGTTGAATTTCCAAGCAACCAAATGAGCTTTTCAACTGCTAATCATCCTCTGTGAAAAAAATAATTTACCAATGAGATCAGACAGTAATACACTAACCAATGAATAACTAGACATAAGCAATCTGTTTCATCTATTAATATTGCAGCTTTTCATAGAGTTGTTTCTTTCACTGTCCACTGGATGAACAGTGATTACCAGGTTCACTTTGTCACTTTCTTGACCTGACTACTGAGACTTGTTTCTCTCAACTACTGTTTTCCAGGCTGGTCTTCTTTCTGGGAAAGTCTCAACCAACTTTACACAAATGATGGACTTTTTGCCTAATTTTCTTGTCAGACATATTCATGCTCTCTAGTATCTTGGACAGCTGTTATCCACTCTACAGATTCATGATAGGTGACTTGACTTGATGATTCATGACTTGATGATTCAAGTCAGGATTTCTACTGGGACACTAAAGGACATTCACTTTCTTATTCTTAAGCCACTCCAGTATAGATCTTTATCCTGTTAATTTTTTTCATTCTTGTCCCGGTGTTCGGGTAAACTAATTTGATTAATTCAACATGTTTCCCTATAATCAAAGTCTGTACTTTACTCTATTTATGTTCACATCAGTATTAACAAGCTTCCCAGTCTCTGCTGAAGAGAAGCAGAAGTACTGTATAACAAGATGGTGCCTCTGCCATGCTTGACAAGAGGAATGATTGTGTAGAATTGACAGTATTGACAGGATTTACAATAGGAATCTGTGACTGAGAAATGCAATACTGTATATTGGGTTTTTGCCAAACCATAACACTTGGATACTTGGACCATAAGATCGAATTTTGTCATGTCTGACCACATTTTGCCACGTTTACACTATGTGCTTTATTGCAGACTCCATGCAGGATTTAAGGAGGGTTTTCTACACTGCAGTATTGTGTTGTGATTGTTATTGTTGACTCCTTTTCTCTCAGTCATTGAACTCACAGTGACACTTCACACTCACACTTCACAGTGGCATTCCTTACCATTTTCCTCTTTGCCCAGATGCTCAGTGAGTGAGGGCAGCCAGACCTAAGCAGTGTCTGGGTGGTGTGATGCAATTTCCATCTTAAAGATCAACTTCATATTAACCAAAGTGATATTCAGTGCTTTGGAATTTTGTATCTTTTTCCTGTTCTGTACTTTTCTACAATTTTATCCTGTATTGTTTTGAAAGCTCCTTGGACATCATTGCAGGAACTATGCTTAAAATACACTACATGAATGAGGGACTTTGCTAAGACAGGTGTCTTTTTGAAAAATCATATGATCCACTATTTATTACACACAAACAGAACCAACTTTGTAATTTTGTGCACTAAAGTTAATTTAGTTTTATAGCAACAAAATGTGAAAACTACACAAGGCTCTGAAGACTATTGCAAGGCACTGTCAGATATACCAGATATTATGGCTCTCAGCTTGAGTTCAATATCAGTTTACTTCAAACTGGGACCATTCAAAAGTAACATACTTTAGCTTTGATAACAGAACAACTTTGATGGCTAGATTAATGCTTGTCATTTCTGCTTTAGCTGAACTAGTTAGCTGTACTTGCCCTAATTCTGTAAGTCACCTGCTGGAAGTCTAGAGGCCAATATTGTATCATCAGGCCTATGAGAGGATGTTAAGGTGAAATGTTACAGGTACTGTAGCTAAATCTCCACCATCCATTTAACCACCCACTTAAGATAAAGTGCAGCTGGAATTTGAGCCATTCATTAAGCTGTGCAGTAGAGGGACTCACAACTCAGAATGAGAGAGTTTTTTTTTGTTTGATTCTCATCTGGGCCATGGGGCTCTAGTACCTAACCATCTTTCTCAATATATGCATAATTATAAAATTATATAATAATTAGTGATTAAACCGTTCTGACTGGCATCCCATCCAGAGTTTACCCTGGCTTCTTCCCATTTCTTCCTGGGAAAGGCTCCAGGCCCTGCAATCTTGAATTGAAAAAAGCAGTTCGAAAATTGGGCAGACACATGGATGAACAATTTAGCACTGTCATTTAATATTGCAAGAGCGAGGAAGATCCATAAAGATCCATAAAGTAGGAGAACTAGGGGTCTTGTGATAAAATGTTTAAAAGACCCATACAAAAATTATGTTTTTCTTGTCTCTGTAACAGGGCTTTGATAAATTAAAAACTGAATTCTTTAAGAGTCAGGAGGCAAACAAAAATAAATTGTAGGACAAGATGTTAAGTTTATTTTACCTGCTATATTATTCTGATCCCTACAGATGGAGCCATTTCACAGCTAGCAGAAGCAGTGCCTAAATTACAAGATTTGTAGTTTCAATTGTAAATGCCATGTGATGAAAAATAACTAATGTCTGCAAAAAGGTGTATTGTATTGGCAAATGTTAGATCATATTTCGTATAAATTTTAATTTTCTTTCTCTTATTGTTTGTAAGTGTGGGAGGGTTAACCTATACAGGTATCCTCTGCTCTGGACT